CCAGCATACCATTCTGGATCGTAACTCGATGACAAATTACGCGCACGGATGTGAGAGAAAAAAGTCAATTAGGAAGCCTTCAATATACAAACCACAAAACGGCTGATAAGAGTTGCGGTCTCGGAATATAACGTACGAGCCACCGCTAGTAACACTAGTAATATTTCTAGCCTGGTCTATCGTTCCTGTGTGCATTTCTGAGTGATAGTTGGGAATATACAGAAACTGTTAACACCTTCATATTCTGAGCTCCAACTGAAAAACATGTTAATGTTATTGATCATGTGGATGACTCCAATGTGATTTGTAGCTGTCGTATAATGTACACATCACAAAAACTAATGTATCAAAACAATTTGAGCAAGCAGCACACATTAGTTCTCTGAGTCTTACACTATATCGTAAATGGTTTCCTCAGACGGTGGTTTCCGAAATACCAAAGAAAGTTCCATCGAAACATAAATTCACTCCGAGTTGAAAAATTTATTCTGTCCAGATCGTAAGTACTTTGTTGTCAATGAGGATTCTTATTTTCTGCTTTAACAACATAGCGGTAGTGGATCGGTGATAAAGGTCACCCAATTCGAACACACGTCCTTCGAGGTGATAATTTGGTGACGTTACCACCGGACCACCACGGCCCAATGTCTAACTTCACGAACAGTTTGACCCCGTAATTTAGCTGCTGCTGCTGATGATGATACCCTTGAATATGACGAACCAAATTGCTAGTGTTTATATGCATAATAAAAGAGATGCTGACAGTGTGGATCAACACAACTCTGAGCAGGGTGAACACACAGTACTGTATGAAAAGCTTAAATGCGCCCAACCATTGTATTTCCCTATTCCCGGCCATAAAGAATGAGTTCCAAAACCCAGATGTTATGCAACAACATATGCTCCGAAGTTCGTAAAAAGTGAAACGCAACCCTTCCAGTTCGTTATGGTCACAGTATATCGTTTGCTCACTATCGTTCCCTGTTAGTTTTTTTCTTGTCCAACATTGACCTCACAAAATTGATATAGCGGGATGGAACGTTCAAAACAGTCAGGTTGCTGCATATTGGAACGGTAGTACACTTAGGCCAAATCAAAAGGACCTTGCAGGACGATTTCAAACTGCAGCTCTACAATCCACGTGCCCACGTGCTATATGCCGCCTAATCGGGAGGTGTAAAAGTGGCCAGTGTTCGTGTTGATTAACGTCATTGCAAACGGTGGTTTTCCTAGTACTTTGGCATCAGGTTGCTACTTGTTTTGTGAAGCAAACCGTAGTATTACTGAAATTGTGTGTGACAGAAACTTAAATCACTTGAGATAGGCTTCTTTTAGGTGGTTTTATGCAGACAAGGGTTAAGTACGTCTAGCTTCCAAAGTATTTTTGTATCATGCTTCGAATTTTTCGTACTGGTAGGGGTCAGGTGTTAGTCCTGCTCGTGAGATTCATCTTAGGAGTTCACTATGGAATAAGAGGGTTACCAAATAGTATATTCCATGATTTTTAATCCACACCGGGCGGTAAGATTGTAGTCCCAGTCATCATAATATGCAATAGATAAATAATTAACTGTGATTGAAGGGTGATATTTTTTGTCACACTTTATCGGATAACCTGCAGGACCATCATATATGTATTTTGGTGTCTGAAGACCACAGGGGAAAACAAGATAGATGAATTAGTCAATTGTCGTAGGTTTGAGGTGGGAAATTATATATATATATCTCCGATCGGTGAGGCTGGCGAACATCACATAAGCGTCAACTTCATTTTCACCGGGTGAAAGTACAATGACCCCTTTTGTTCGAAGCTGACAGCTATTCGTCAACAATTTGTGAAGAACATGTGGTGGTCCCTTTAGGGATGAAATCTTGAGCAGATTTTAGTGGTTATTGTTAAGACGATTTAGGCTAAGTTCGTCACTAATCGTCGTCTCATGCGCGGTTCGATCTTTTGGGGTAGTCTAACACAACAACGGGCCCCCGGTCAGTAAATCCGGTTGATAGAACCTCGAAATTATCTCTCGAGTTAAGACATAATTGGTAGTAGTAGTGGTGGTAATAATAATACTAATAATAAAGAGCAACCAAACACACACAAATATATGGCTTCAGAAAAGTATGTACCATATTCAGAAAAAAGAATAATACATGGACTGATTAGTTCAGAAGTGCTGAACAGCTGTTTTGATTATATCGCATATTATTAGTTGCGCGAATTTATTCATTCGGTGGATGATCGAATGTGCTACCTCACAAAAATAATGTAAGCGCACACACTATCCACCAGACCAATGGGCAGCTAAACAGACTAGAACGTGTTGTGGGTCACAGCGATCCCTCGTCTTAGTACAAGCCTTTAGTGACTAAAATGAATCATCTTGCACTGAAATTGGTTGCACACCAGGAAAAGCAAAGCCGGAAATCCGCCAAGGAAAATCCGCGAGGTATTACATGACTGTCTCAACCTTGTTGGCTATCATCAGAACCATACATTCATCATTGTAGCCGGGGTTCGAACTTGAGATTTTCTCAGTCATGGCTTTGAAATTCTGGTGAAACC